TGTGTTACTTCCTGTGTGTAGTTTTACTTCCTGTATGCTGTGCTACTTCCTTTTTTGTGTTACTTCCTGTGTGCTGACCCACGTGTCTGTTTCCTGTCCTCAGTGGTGTTCATGGGCAGTCAGAAGGACCCGGCAGAGAACGGTTTTGATGCATTCCTGAAGAAACACGGAGGAAGTGACAATGCTTCCACCGACTGCGAGAGAACCATCTTCCACTTTGATGTTCAGAGGAAGTACTTCAGAGAGGCCCTCGACAGGTGAGCTCATCCTGCAGGAAGCTGAAGCACTTTAGTGGTTTCAACAGGTCTGAACGTTTCTGAGGCTGAAACTGGATCCTAGAACCAGGTTTTGTTCTGTGTGAGAAGCTTCAGGAGTTGAGGAGTAACAGAAGGTGTGGTTTCTGTGTCCAGGTGGGCTGGGTTCTTCATCTGTCCTCTGATGCTTGAGGACGCAGTGGACAGAGAGGTGGAGGCTGTGGACAGCGGTGAGTCCTCAGTCCATCAGCTTTATTGTTGACGTCGTGCACGTCCACCTTCACGTTGCCTCATGTGGTCTCCTCAGAGTTCCAGCTGGCGAGGCCGTCAGACTCCCATCGTAAGGAAATGCTGTTTGGGAGTTTGTCCAAACCCGGACACCCTATGAGCAAGTTCTTCTGTGGTGAGAAGGACAGGGTCCACCCAGCAGCTCAGACAGAACCTGCTGGATCTGAACCTGCAGTCCAGGTCCACATGTGTGGTGTCTCCTCCTTCAGGTAACGCTCAGACCTTAAAGCCCAAAGAGACACAGATCAACACCTACGAGAGGCTGCAAGTCTTCAGGAGAAGATATTACTCTGCTCACTACATGACACTCACCGTGCAGTCCAGAGGTAGGCTGTCACCCACCCTCACCCACCCTCACCCACCCTCACCCACCACAGTCTGAACCAGCTCAGCAATGAATGAACAAAGCGTTCTTTGTCATGGTTTCAAGTACAACAGAAGTGCAGAGCTTCTCTGAAGGTGCCTCTCCAGGAGTTTGGTGCAGCTTCACACAACACGTGCACAGTGAAAGTATAACACGTTTTTAAAAGTTTGTGTACAACAGTGTGTAGTATGCGTGCGTTCAAGAGCGATGGCTTGAGAGAAGAAACTGTCCCTGGGTCTGGTGGTCCAGGTCCTGATGGACCTGAGGTGGGAACCAGGGTGTGGTTGTCCTTTGGCTCTACTGAGACATCGAGCGGTAAAGATGGACTTTAGAGAGAATGGTTGACAGGGAGGTGTTCACCAGACCCTGAAGTCTTCTCCGGTCTGCCTCAGTGCAGTGAGGGAACCACACGGAGCTGCAGGAGGTCAGCACACTCGCGATGGAAGCACGGTAGAAGTTCACCGTGAGCTTCTCTGGCACATTATTCCTCCTGAGCACCCTCAGGAAGTGAAGACGCTGCTGAGCCTTCTTCAAGATGGCTTTTGTGTTGACGGACCAGGAGAGGTCAGCAGATCTCTGGGCAAGGGTGTCAGAAGCATCCGTAATGTGGGGGGGACACAACGATGTGTGTAGGTGTGTGCGCGCAAAAGAAATGTGCACTAATGTACAAAAAAAGCAACATTTCACCTAGATCTCCTTTAATTCCACACATTTAAATCATGTTTCTCACCAAGTTTGTGTAAATTCATCTGTGGGTTTAAAGACATTTTAACTTTAATACACTTTAACACAGAGCGTCAGGTCGACACTATTTGTGTTTATAGAGAAATAAAAACATCACTGGACTTTTTTACTTGTGTTCAACACTCCTCATGTAAATGATGTTTGTCATGAAGCTTGAGGACAATAAGGTGTGGGGGTTTAAACACATTTCACCTTTAATGCACCTGAACACACAGAGTCTCTTCCACCTGCAGCGTCTCAGTTTCTGCTGAGATAAGATGCTACAGACGCAGCTCCTCTCAAACATCCTCCTAACATGTATGTATGTTGATGATCAACCCCCCGGTCAACCACTGCCCGCACTAAGCTGCTAAACTGGTGAGCGAGTAACACAGGTACCTCCACCTCCTCCACCTGTGCGCGTTTTCTGCCGAAGCAGGAGACTCAGCAGCTGCACAGTTTCTGCTCTGTGTTTAGAGGTGGAGGTAACCAGGAAAACCTGGAGTGGAGTTTTAGTGGTTTGAGTATTCTCCCATTAATCAAGTGGAATGGATTCGTTCACGAAGAAAGAAACTGCGCCGCCTGAACTAATGTTTCATAGTAAAAGTGGGGGGGGGGGGGGGTCCAAATGAATGTTTTTTTAATGTGGGGGGGACTTGTCCCCTTCACATATAATGGTTGTGACGCCTATGTATCTGGGTGACTAGGAACCTGACACTGTGTACCATCTCCATGCACTCGCCGTTCATGTAGAGAGGGGTGGGTCTAACCTCGGTTTCCTGAAGTTCAGGATGACTTCCTTTGTCTTTGTGATGTTCAGAACAAGACTGTTGACTGAACACCACGATGTTGGTCTCAGGACTTCATCCCCGTAGGTAGATTCATCTCCTCCCACCTCTGTACCATGGTCCACAAAGTCCACTCTGGTATTACTTCTGTGACTGGGGTTACAGTTGTGGGTGTAAAGGCAGTATAGAAGTGGGCTCAGCACACATCCCTGTGGAGACCCTGTACTGAGTGTACGGGTCGAGGACAAATGCCATCATAACCTCACCCACCTGACCTTCACCCACCTGACCTTCACCCACCTGACCCTCACCCACCTGAACCTCACCCACCTGAACCTCACCCACCTGACCTTCACCCACTTGAACCTCACCCATCTGACCTTCACCCACCTGAACCTCACCCACCTGAACCTCACCCACCTGACCTTCACCCACCTGACCTTCACCCACCTGACCTTCACCCACCTGAACCTCACCCACCTGAACCTCACCCACGTGAACCTCACCCACCTGACCTTCACCCACCTGACCTTCACCCACCTGACCTTCACCCACCTGAACCTCACCCACCTGACCTTCACCCACCTGAACCTCACCCCTTTTGTTCTGCTGCTTGTTGTGTAGAAACTCTGGACACTCTGGAGGAGTGGGTGAGAGAAAGCTTCATGAAGATTCCCAACAAGTGAGCCTGTAGAGGATCATCATCTTCACTGTGTCCTTCATCAAATCAGGACATTTTGAGCATGTTCTGCTGTGTTTCCAGCGAAGAACCTCGTCCTGACTTCTCCCACCTGCAGCAGCCGTTTGATACACCTTCTTTCAACAAACTCTACAGAGGTCAGTTTTTATTCTTTTTATTGTTTAAGAACAAACGTCTTGCTGAGTTGAAATGACCAGGTGTAGATCTTTCTGTTCTGAATGCTCCTTTCTGTTTCTGCTGCAACACTCCATCGTCTGCTCATTATCATTATTATTAACCTTTAGTTAGCCTTTAGTTAACCTTTAGTTAGCCTTTAGTTAACCTTTAGTTAGCCTTTAGTTAACCTTTAGTGAACCAGGCAAATCATTGAGATCACAGATCTCTTTTCTTGAAGGCAGCCTAACATGCATGTTTTTGGTCTGTGGGAGGAAACCGGAGTACCCGGAGAAAACACACACATGCACGGAGAGAACATGTAAACTCCACCCAGGAAGACCACAGGTCCAACTGGGGATTGAATCCAGGACCTTCTTGCTGTGAGGCAGCAGTGCTAACCACTGAGCAGTCATGCTCTTCACTGAAAACATCATCTGATCTTTGTTGCAGTGGTTCCTGTGAGGAAGGTTCACTCTCTGACCATCAGCTGGGCCCTTCCACCACAGGCAAAACACTACAGGTGAGCCGGATTTACAGAGCCCAGTTCTGGCGTTCCACTTCCAGACCCTGCAGATCCCAAACATTCCTGATACCAAACAATTCCTGGTCCTAAACATTTGGTCCTAAACTCCTGATCCTAATACTCTGGCCCCTAAGTCCAGATCCTAAACTCCTGGTCTTAATCCTCTGGCCCCTAAGTCCAGGTCCTAAAGTCCTGGTCTTGAGGTGTTTTTGTCTGTAAAGGTTGTGTGAATGTATCTGTAGTCCGTGGTGTGGACTTTCTGAATTCAGTGTTTGTGCATCAGAGTGAAGCCTCTTCACTTCATCTCCTGGTTGGTTGGACATGAGGGAACCGGCAGCATCCTGTCTCTGCTCAGGAAGAAGTGAGTTCAGAACCACTCGAACCATCACTTGGACCGTCTGGAACCATCAGCCCATCTCAGCAGAAACTCTGTTTTCAGGTGCTGGGCTCTGGCCCTGTTCGGAGGAAACAGTGAGACGGGCTTCGACCAGAACTCCACCTACTCCATCTTCTCTATTTCCATCACCCTGACTGACCAGGGCTACCAGAACTTCTACCAGGTCCAGACATGGACGCAGCTTCCAGCATCTCTGAGCAAATGTATGATGATGTTGTTGCTTGTGGGTGCAGGTGGTCCACTTGGTGTTCCAGTACCTGAAGATGCTGCAGACTCTGGGCCCCCAGCAGAGGTCCGAGTCCACTCAAACACACACATGTTCTACAGCACACGCTAACCGGTGCAGAGTTATGGGGACCCTAACACCCATCGTTAGTCTGATCCATGATCCAGAACCAAGGAGAAGTTGGACCATTAGGAAGTTCTTTTTAGGTTCTTCTTGTTCCCTGTTTGACTTCAGCAGCTGTTGGTTCTGAACTTCGATGGTTCTGAGATGGAATGCTACAGAAGAACCCGTTAAGATCTGAGGCTGAAGGAGACAAACTGGTTCCAAGGTCCTTATACAATCTCAGAACAACAGGAACCCTTTTGTGGTTCTGTGGTGGTCTCAGAACCAACAAAAATGCTGAAGTGGTTCTGTGGTGGTCTCAGAACCAACAGGAACCCTGAAGTGGTTCTGTGGTGGTCTCAGAACCAACAGGAACCTTGAAGTGGTCCTGTGGTGGTCTCAGAACCAACAGGAACCCTGATGTGGTTCTGTGGTGGTCTCAGAACCAACAGTAACCTTGAACTGATTCTGTGGTGGTTTCAGAACCAACAGGAGCCCTGAAGTGGTTCTGTGGTGGTCTCAGAACCAACAGGAACCCTGATGTGGTCCTGTGGTGGTCTCAGAACCAACAGGAACCCTGATGTGGT